GGCTCTTCGACCGACCTCTTGCAACTAACGCTTCATCTTCTGCTGCTGCATTCTTCAGAAATTTATCCTCCAAAGCCTTCCACAAAGTGTGAGCAGAGTTCTCATTCTTGAACGCGTACTTCTGCTCCCTCGACAAACACGAACGAATTGTTCCACATGCTAAGCGGTTGATATTCTTCCAGTCCTTCTCTTCAACGTTTGTTGGCATCTTTTCTTCAATCGCAATGTCGACGCCTTGCTGAAATAGACAATCCAACACCTCGCCTTGCCACATGCCGAAATGACCGGTCCCGTCGAAGATCTCCACCGGGAGTCTGACGTTCTTCATCACCGTCCTTGCCGGAATGAATGCAGAGGATGATGCGCTCTTGACCTCCTTGGACATCTCGGACCCGAATGCAGTGCTCGCCTCTCCAAAAGAGCCTGGGACGAACCTTCGGCTCTGATACCACTTGTTGGGGTATCACAACAAGCGCAGCGGACAAAAATACCCCTCCAACGAATATGGTGACACTACTCCAAAATAAGCCAACACAAATAAAAGACGAGAAATAAAAGAACACAAAAATTGATAACGGAGTTCGGCGAAAATAGCCTACGTCTCCGGGCACCGCCAACCGCAACGCCAAATTTACTAAACTCACCAACAAAATACAACTAGGGTTAAATAACCCACAAAATAGGATTCCTTAATTAAGGATTTCCTTCTAAATAGGAGAGAATAGAATAAGGTGCAATTGTAACCCAAAGGCAAGAGACCTATTTATACTAAAAAGATCCTACACATCTTTGGTACACATCCGATGTGGGACAAACCTTAATAAAAAACTAACACATATGTCCCTGCCATTTCGCTCCGCAAAATTAACAAAGAAAAAAGAAAAATAAAGGCAATGGCAAAATTATAATTAAAGGACAAAAAAGACATTTTCGTCCATAAATGACACGTGAATTGCCCCTCATTGTTTGCTTATATGTATAGGAGATATATAAAATATAAATTGACCCGAAACAACTTTCCATTTATTACATGGTCAGAACTAATAAGTGATTGGTTTTTACGGAGTCTAGTCTACACACACCGTACATACAATCAAATTGAATCAACAATTATTATGTTATATTAGTACTCATATTGTATGTTTGTTTCCCATTTCCCAGACGGCAATCGAGATTTGTCAATGTTTGACTTCCCTCCCTCCCACCACACGCCTAAACCAAATCACTAGAAAAATATTCAGTCTTTGCAGTCTTCTCCATTGACTTTTGCAGATAGAGAGAGCACCCAAACTCCTTAATTCATTCATTCATTCATTCATTCCCCAGCTTATAGCTAAAATCGCAACCAAAGTGGGTTGTAAATAATACAGTTTCTTCTGTACGTATACCCACCCAACTCACTCCAAATTTAGGGCCTTCTATATTCTTTTCCTGGCATGAAAATTATTTTATTTTATTCAAAAAAAAAAAAAAACAGAGATTTCTCATCAGTTTTATTACTGGAGAAGTTAATTAGTAGTAGTTGTATAGTAAATAAAGTTGACTTGTTGCTTTTGTTCAATGCTGCAGCCCAGCTAATCTGTAGCAACAACAGAGTTTTTCTTGCTCCATAATTCATTCTTTTGTCGGTTAAGTAGAGTATTATTGGTATGCCTTCTTCTATTTGGAAAGCAGCCTCCAGCAATAATAATAATAATAATAATAATAATAATAATAATAACAACGGCAATAAGAATTATCGGCCATTGAAGGGCAAAAGCAAGAAGAGCTCCAACGATATAATATTATCGAACAAGGTGGCCAACAGCGAGCCGGCGAGAAAGCTGCTGACACGTGCCAGGAAGTTGAGGCACGCGAGCGATGATGAATTGGGCCTCAATTCTTCTGATGCTGGCCTGCTGCCCATTTCTCCAGATTCAACCCTCCTCTCCACCGGCGCCGCGCACTGGTCCAAGTCGGCAGTGCCTCAGCCGCTGCCCCGCCCTGAAATTACTAATCATCTGCTACCAGTCAATGATAGGTTTCTCTCTCTCTCTCTCTCTCTCTCTCTCTCTCTCTGATGATTCTTGAATTACAATGAAATTGATAAATGGTTACCAACAAAATATTATAAATCGTTTGCTGTGACTTGTGAGCCAAATTGAAATTATTTCCTTTTATGGACTAGTTGATTCTTCCTATAGCTTAAAGGTTGTGGGTGGAAACTGCCAAGCTTTATCCCTTGGGAAATTATTTGCCAAAATTTGCGTGTATGAAGGAGGAGGTGATTTGTTTGTGTAGATAAGAAAATCATTTAACAATCTTAAGGTGCAAACAGAAGCCAAAAAAAACCTCAGCATAATTGAAAGGAGATGCTGCTTGATTTGGACAAAATAAATGGAATCGTGAAGAGAATAAGCTTCATGAAAGTTATTACACGTTCCATCATTTTCGAACGTTAGCTGCCAATCACATAGTTTATTTCCCTTTTTTTTTTGTTGGTTTCTCCCTCTCTCTCCCGTACAAATGTTTGTACGTTAATTCAAATTTACAGAAATCCCTGTCGTCAATTGCTTGGGAAGAGCAGCAACGAGAATGTCCGAGAAACAAATGTGCACAGTAGGTGCCGCAGCAGGGGATTATTCTCTCCCGACCTAGATGTGGACTCCTCACAGGAAAATGAGTTTCATTTGCATATCCCCACACGAAGTGCACCAGGCAGCGGTTTTTCCAGCCCTGTCCTCAGTCCACAGAGGTACAACAGCACTCTTGATCTCTACATCCCTTCTTTCCGAGTGCCGTCAAAGTTTTCCAACTCAGACAGAAAATCCAAGTCGTACGGAAACTGTAATGGTGTTTTCATGCACTTGCATGAAAAGTCCCTCCCGGAATTTTTCGCTTTAAGAAATGAGTGTAATAATAATAATAATAGTGATAATAATGCTAATGTTCACCCATTGCCACGCCCACCGTCAGCAGCTTGTAGACAGTCACTAACTGTTAGGCACAATATTGAAAAATCGGATGGTTCACCGGTTATTAAGGGGCAATGGCAGAGGGGACGACTATTAGGGCGAGGCACCTACGGAAGTGTGTATATCGCGACTCATCGGTATGTCAACTTTATGTTATTTTGAGGGAATTTTTGATTCTAGTACTTGAAGTAAAAGTGATTGAACATGTGGCTTACCAAATTCGATATGCTCGGGAAGAGGGGTACAGGAAAAAGGCAACATAGTGATAGTACTGTTTAAGTACTAAAACTTGGAGTTGTCACTTTATGTAAATTTGAAGGTATGTAACTGAATCATCATCTTGTGATAGTGAAACTGGGGCTATGTGTGCGGTGAAAGAAGTCCAGATGGTACCTGATGATCCTAAATGTGCAGAATGTGTGAAGCAGTTGGAGCAGGTTAGTTCTGAGTTCTTTCATTCATATTTATATAGCATGTCACACTCTATAAAGAAACTTTAATTTATGTTCATCGATAAAAGTGCATTTCTGTTTTCTAGAGTGTAAGAATGGATTATTAAGACTGATTCTTGAAGCATTTACATTTTCATTATTTTTTTTTTCTTCTTCTGTAGCTTAGTTATTTTATTTAAGAAATAGATTTGGTATAATTCTATCCTTCTTCTGCCAAAACTCTTGGTGTTAGTATTATATTTTGGGACATCTCAATCTCAGAATATTAATTCCTTTCTCATCGTCATAGCAGAAAGAAAGAGAAAAATGGTCCACAGTTTCATATATATATATATAGTACATAGGTGCACATTTTTCAACTTATACCAATCACAAAATATATTACTGATCACATGTGTATGCTTTATAAACAAATATTATGTTTTTGGTAGATACTTACTTATTTCTCTTTCACCATTCAGGAAATCAAATTCCTCAGAGATTTGAAGCATCGGAACATTGTACAGTACTATGGGTGCGAAACTGTAAGAAAGATTCCATTTTATTGTCCTTCATTAGACCATCATGTTTTTTCGGCTTTCTTATATCTATTTTAGTTAAGAACAGCAGCAACTCAGAATCTGTTTTAAACACAATGGCATTATCTTCTGCGCATTATCTTCTGCAGATTGAGGATCGTTTTTGCATATATTTGGAGTATGTGCATCCAGGAGCGGTTAATAAGTATATCCGTGAAAATTGTGGGGCTATGACAGAGAGTATTGTGCGCAATTTTACCCGTCACATTCTCTCAGGATTGGCGTACTTACATAGCACAAATACGATACACAGGTTAAATTCCTGGCACTTGGAATTTTTTTTAGTATCCAGCGGGGCGGGGCTGGTTGTTACGTTGTAGGATTTCTTTTTGTTCTTCTTTCTATATTTTAGTATGAATAAGAAACAACACATATTGTCCTGCATGGTTGATTAACAAACAAAGTCAGTATACATAATTTACCATTTTTCTTGTTCTTGATTATGTTCGATGTCTTTGGCTGAGATATAATTTTGTTGTTTCCTCACATCATAGGGATATCAAAGGGGCAAATTTACTTGTTGATGCATATGGTGTTGTCAAGATAGCGGACTTTGGATTAGCAAAGCATGTAAGTCTTACTCAATAATATAAGATTTACATCAATTATTACTCTGTTCATGATTTAGCTAGTGGGAGTTCTCTCTCTCTCTCTCTCTCTCTCTCTCTCTCTCTCTCTCTCTCTCTCCATATTTTCCTATCTTTGCCCTTTAGCAAAATATGAAATGTTCTCAAATTGATTCCAACTGATTTCAGTTGCTAATCTATTCTAACTAGAAAGTAGTTGGATTAGCTAAGTGACACCTTTAAAAAGTAGAGGTTTTAATTACTGATTTAGGAAACGAGTAAACACAATTTGAATCGTCAATGTACCAGAAGGATAATTTGGAAGTGAAACCAACAGAAACCATCTTATCATACACTTACATTTATTTGTTTGTTTATGTCTTTGTCTGTGTGTATGTATCTTTTAATTTCCTTTCATACTGAGTATATGATGAAGATTAAATAAATGTTCAGTAAACTGTAGTTGGTTTATCTTTTTTACCATTCATAATTAGATTCTGATGAAGATTAAATGTTTAAATTGTTTGTAGTTGGCTTATTAGTTGTAGATAATCTGCCTGGATGAGTAATCTTTTTGAAGTTTCTGTTTTAAAATTCTTCTAAATTGCTGCTTATTCACATCGTGCCCCTCCAGCTTAATGGACATGATATTGATCTCTCTTTGAAGGGTACCCCTCATTGGCTGGCACCAGAGGTATCTATCTAGCTTTTATAATACATTGACTGCAAAAACAAATTGAGTAGATAATCTCCCTTGCTTTCCAGTTTGATTTTATTGTTAACCTGAGTGAATATACAAAAAATGAATTGAGGCTCGAGTAATGTTATAATTTTATTTGAACATTTCCGTTGTCCACAACGAACCAAACTGAACTCAACGGAAGTTTTTACATTTTTATCGAGAATTGAATAATACAATATTGTTTGTTATCAAGTTTGGTGTTTAATTTTAGTTTCGGTGGGCAGGTATTGCATGCTATGATGCGAAAAGACGCAAACCCTGAGCTAGCCTATGGTGTTGACATATGGAGCGTTGGTTGTACGGTTATTGAGATGCTCACAGGAAAACCTCCTTGGAGTGAGCTTACTTGGGTAACGCGCAACGCATACATACATACTCTTGGGATTTACCAATCTCTTCTTTTAACTTGTACGTAGATATGGCAATATTATTAGTTCTCAATGATTTCATGTTTTATTTTTCTTGAATTCTAATTAGGTGCAAGCAATGTTTAGTGTATTGAACAAATCACCGCCCATACCTGAAAAACTATCAGCTGAAGGGAAGGATTTTCTTCAACGGTGCTTTCAAAGACGACCTGAAGATCGACCCTCGGCAGCTAAGCTGCTCGATCATCCTTTTGTACGCAGTTCACGTGACCAAAACCATGCTGGTTTGGTGCTAGGATTTTCTGGAATTAGATTACATGTGAGTTTCGCAATCTTAATCATATGCATGCCATGCAGGAACTTGACACAGATGTAATCGTAATAAGTCCTAATTCGTAATTCGATTTGGCTCGAATAAGGAAATAACTAAGAAAAAAAAATATATATATATATTTCAGGATGTAGAGAGTTCAAGTGACTGGACACAGCGGAATAAGGATGTGATGCCAACTTCACCAGTCACAAAAATACAACAAGGGAAATTGCCACTACTCATTGGGTGAGTTTTTGTATGCCCTAATATCCGATTTTCTATGGTATTTGATTGAGACAATAATAAATCCATTGAAAAAAAAAAAAACTTAATTATTCAACTTTCCCATCATTTTTTATTTTGGGAAAAAAAGTTTCTCGCTTTGAATGGTGTGTGAAACCTTCAAATTATAGATTGTCAGCTTCAGTTTGACAACTCAAGTTGCAAAGTGGAAAAAAAAAAATGCACAAATTAAGGTTGCAGCAGTATAATAAACTCATCATATTTGGAATCCAGCGAAACTAGTCGACAAGATATCTTATGCCCGGGTCCCAATTCCCACAACTCAGCAGTTGAAGCCCTCCCTCGGGTTTCTTCAAACACTTTGAGCCCTTCAAATGTGGATAAGAATTTGTTGTTAAGAGCTGTAAACAACACTACTATTTCGTGCAAGGGAAATCTCACCCTATTGATGCCGAAAATGACGGAAAGGAAGAAGAAACAGAGCTCAAACGCACACTGAGAAATAAATTAATGCACCACCTTTCTTTCTGGGTTGCCGGCATTATATATATATTCTGATGCTGCAGTGCCAGTGTCAGTGTGAGTGTCACCACAAGGCAACAAACAAAAGTTACAATGTGTTGTTTGATGAACACAAAGGTTGTACTGTAGTCCCTTTACTACTCTGGATATCTATCTGTACATATGTGGAAGAAAATGTAGAAACAATTCGTTGTAGTGTGTAATTTAGTAGCAGAATAGAATGCACATATTTAGTAGTAGTGTGTTATTGGAATATATTCAGACTGTTGTATGTGTTACTCTCGACCAAGCTATTCGTATTTTTGTATATGTTACTTCTGGTTTCGTATTTTTGTATATGTTACTTCTGGTACCGTTATTGGAACATATATAGTAGGAAAAAAAAATAAAAAATAAATGATAACCGGTGCAAATTGTGGTGAATAATCAATCAATCAACAAGTTGTTCAAATCCCACTAAGTGATCGGCTATATGGATCACATGTTGTCATCGTACTCGATCAGAACACATATCTTCAATTCCACCTGTAAGCATCGAATTTCATACAAAAATATATGGATGGATGCAAAAGAATATTTATTTTTTAGAAAGTGTAAAATCGTTAGGTTGTGAGATATAAATAAATCAATTTAAATTTTATTCATAAAAGAATATATGGATGCGAAAAAATATTTCTTTTTTTTTGAAAGTGTCAAACCTTTAGGTTGCTGAGATATAAATAAATTAATTTGCTCGATAGTATCTATGGGTACTTGCCGAGTTTGGATTTATTGGTTAATCAAAGTCAGTTTAAAAAAAAAAAAAAATCATTTTGAGATTTTAAGTTACAAGATTTATTTTTATTCATTTACAACTTTTTATTTTAATTTTTTTTAAAAAAAATTCTTGCGCATTCAATGAGATCTTCAAAAAATAAATAAATATGTCATGGAATATTCATTGAAATTTCAAAAGTTTTAAAAAGTAATGAGATACTCAATTTATTTACCAAAAACACTTTTTTTAAAGAGTTTTTAAGATTGTGATTTAAAAATAAATTATGTATCTCAAATCCATCATAATTCATGCCTTTAGAGTAGGGCTGCAAAGAAGTCGAGCCGAGTCGAACATTGGCTTTATCGAGCAGGATTGTTTTTTTTTTTAGCTGCTCGAGCTCGATTTTTTAGGCTCGAACTCCACTCGATAAAAAATTACAATAAGCTCGAGCTAGACTGAAAATCAAAATGCTCGAGTTTGGCTAAAAAAATTTTTAGTGGAAAAGGTAAAATTAGCATTAAGGACTTATGCTAACATATATATAAGGGGTATTTTAGTAACTTAACATGTATCTCGAGCTGCTCGACGAGCCACGCGACAAGGCAAAATATGGGCTCGAGCACAACTCGAGTTCGTGCTCGAGCCGCTCGAGACGAGCTTCG